AAATACTCCCCCCCCCCCCCCCCCCCCCCCCCCCCCCCCCCCCCCCCCCCCCCCCCCCCCCCCCCCCCCCCCCCCCCCCCCCCCCCCCCCCCCCCCCCCCCCCCCCCCCCACCCCCCCCCCCCCCCCCCCCCCCCCCCCTCCCCCCCCCCCCCCCCCCCCCCCCCCCCCCCCTCCCCCCCCCCCCCACCCCCCCCCCCCCCCCCCCCTCCCCCCCCCCCCCCCCCCCCCCCCCCCCCCCCCCCTCCCCCCCCCCCCCCCCCCCCCCCCCCCCCCCCCCCCCCCCCCTCCCCCCCCACCCCCCCCCCCCCCCCCCCCCCCCCCCCCCCCCCCCCCCCCCCCCCCCCCCCCCCCCCCCCCCCTCCCCCTCCCCCCCCCCCCCCCCCCCCCCCCCCCCCCCCGCCCCCCCCCCCCCCCCCCCCCCCCCCCCCCCCCCCCCCCCCCCCCCCCCCCCCCCCCCCCCCCCCCCCCCCCCCCCCCCCCCCCCCCCCCCCCCCCCCCCCCCCCCCCCCCCCCCCCCCCCCCCCCCCCCCTTGGAGTTACTAGGTATAGTAAGAAAACCTTTCTTCACGAACCCAGAGCAACAGCAACTAAGAGATAGCATAGATAAATGGGACCTCATAAAACTAAAAAGCTTCTGTTCATCAAAAGAAATGGTCTCTAAACTGAAGAGAACACCCACAGAGTGGGAGAAAATATTTGCCAGCTACACATCAGACAAAGGACTGATAACCAGAATATATAGGGAACTTAAAAAACTAAATTCTCCCAAAACTAATGAACCAATAAAGAAGTGGGCAAGGGAACTAAACAGAACTTTCTCAAAAGAAGAAATTCAAATGGCCAAAAAACACATGAAAAAATGCTCACCATCTCTAGCAATAAAGGAAATGCAAATTAAAACCACACTAAGATTCCACCTCACCCCTGTTAGAATAGCCATCATCAGCAACACCACCAACAACAGGTGTTGGCGAGGATGAGGGAAAAAGGAACCCTCTTACACTGTTGGTGGGAATGTAAACTAGTACAACCACTCTGGAAAAAAATTTGGAGGCTACTTAAAAAGCTAAATATTGATCTACCATTTGATCCAGCAATACCACTCTTGGGATATACCCAAAAGACTGTGACACAGGTTACTCCAGAGGCACCTGCACACCATGTTTATTGCGGCACTATTCACAATAGCCAAGTTATGGAAACAGCCAAGATGCCCCACCACTGACGAATGGATTAAGAAATGTGGTATCTATACACAATGGAATTTTATGCAGCCATGAAGAAGAACGAAATGTATCATTCGCTGGTAAATGGATGGAATTGGAGAACATCATTCTGAGTGAGGTTAGCCTGGCCAAAAGACCAAAAATCGTATGTTCTCCTCATATGTGGACATTAGATCAAGGGCAAACACAACAATGGGATTGGACTTTGAGCACATGATAAAAGCGAGAGCACACAAGGGAGGGGTGAGGATAGGTAAGACACCTAAAAAATTAGCTAGCATTTGTTGCCCTTAACGCAGAGAAACTAAAGCAGATACTTAAAAGCAACTGAGGCCAATAGGAAAAGGGGACCAGGAACTAGAGAAAAGGTGAGATCAAAAAGAATTAACCTAGAAGGTAACACACACGCACAGGAATTAATGTGAGTCAACTCCCTGTATAGCTATCCTTATCTCAACCAGCAAAACCCTTGTTCCTTCCTATTATTGCTTACTCTCTCTACAACAAAATTAGAATAAGGGCAAAATAGTTTTCTGCTGGGTATTGAGGGGGTTGGGGGGAGAGAGAGGGGGCGGAGTGGGTGGTAAGGGAGGGGTGGGGCAGGGGGGAGAATGACCCAAGCCTTGTATGCACATATGAATAATGAAATAATAAAATAAAGATAATAAAATATGAATGGGAAGAACACAGAAACATGCAAAATGTAATATGATTACAATAGTCCTGAAATAATGTAACTTTAATTTCATAAAATTAATATCCTACAAATAGTTAAGAATATCAAAGAAAAAAAAACTAAGAAAGTTCTTATTTATGTTACAATAATCCAACTCCGTACATGCTGATTTCCAAGTCAATACCTAACAAAAAAAAAAAAATGGAAAAGGATTCAGTAAACTTTCAACCATTCTCCAGATGAGAAACCCTGTTTGTATGTGAGAGATTAGCAATGTGTAATGTAGCTATTCATTCATTTACCCATTTACAATTGAGTGCCTACTATATACAAATACTGGGCACTGCAGTCAAAAGTAAATAAGACCAGTCAACTAGATTCTAAAGTATTAAAAGTAAAAAGGATACTTTTTATTATTAAAGATGTTGTGGAACAAAGTGAGGGAGGTCTTAAGACAGTACATCACACATTAAACGTCATAAAGACAGAAAAAGTCTAGAACCATTGTTAAGATCAACATGCTATTAAAAGTTTTATGGACAAACCCTATAGTTGATAGATACATTACAGCACTGATATGTAGCCAAAACCAATTTTTTCTTTGATTCACTTGAGTTCCTCTCAGAATTTGTGCCAGCATTTCCAAATTTTAGAACACTAATGTGTTTTCATATTACGTGTTTCACCTTGGAAACTCTTAGTGATATTCAAAACAAAAAGCGTAAGTTATCTCTTAAATGTTAATATTTTAGAACATTTTTATAAGCCAGTCAACATGTACAAGACTAAAAGGGACTATTCAGAAAAACACGAAGGTTTATTTTTTCTCTACTCTTCAATAAAAGAAGACATTGAAAAAGACTAAAGTTTTGGATGTGAACCAAAACAAGCTCATTGATCAAAATATCCTAGAGAATATGAAGAAAAGAAAATATGAAAAAGAGAACACATTAGTATCTATCAATCAAACTTCTCTTCATATCATTTCTTGAGAACATCTTGATCTTAAGAATAACATTAAAATTCTCAGCAAAATTGATTCTAAATAAAAAAGTTAGTAAATCTAAAAACATCGATGAACAAAACTAAATTTCATGGCTCACTTTAGGGCCAATGTAATTTCCTACAAATAATCTGTATCTTCATGAAACCTATTTACCAAACTAGGTAGGGTCACTACAAGCATCTACACAATAAAATATTTAAACATTTTAGATGGCTTCTCTCTTTATTTAAAATAGAAGCAGAATTACCTGAGTGTGTAGCTGATATCATCTTTGGACAACATGGTGAATAACAGATAAGTTGTATAAACAGAACCAGCAAATCTGTGAGGGATACTGAATCTTTACAAGGAAAAAAGGAAAAATTAGTGCCTAGCATATGCTTACAATCTAGAAAAATTAAACTGTGTTCCAAACACCTGTAAGATTACATTATAGTTTCTAAGAAAAGCCAATCAGAAAATAGCAATAATAGAAGGACTCCAGAACAAATTAGACAGAGTACCTTAAAAAATATAGCAAGGCAAACAATGTAATAGGTACCATATAAAGGTATTGTCTTGCCATCTATTTTAGCCAACTGTTTACTAGAAACCTATAATGGAAACATGTATGAATCTGATCATAGCTGTTTGAGTTGATTCAATTATGAGTAGTAACATTCAGCTTAGCATGTTGAGCCAGCTAATTTATTGATACAGTACTGTAGAAATGAGGTCAGCAAACTTTTCCTGTGAAGAACTATGCAGTAAATATTTCAGGCTTTGTAAGCAAACCATCTCTGTCATAAATTTTATGCCATGTATGCCATTGTAACACTTAGTCACTTACTACTAAATAAATGAGTATGGCTGAATAAAACTTTCTTTGTACTGAAAGTTAATTTTTATATATTTTCTGTGTCACAAAATAGTCTTGTTAAAAAAAATCAACAATTTTAAAACATAAAAACCATTCTTGGCTCACAAGTATAGAAACCAGATGGCAAACCACATTCAGCCTATAGGCTTATAGTTTATGAATCCTTGCTACATAAGCTTACATCAAAAGAGTCTAGAGAAATGTCATGTAGTATTTAAATGTGAATATCAGCCTATGCTATGATACAAGAATAAAACTATCAAACTTAGTTATAAGATGATCTTTCTATTTCTGTAAAATTTAGCAATACCACATAAAATAGCTGTCCTTTCATTGAAAGACTCTATTAAGCACCCACTACTGCCTATGAGCATAAGTCTATGTGGGACAGTCATGAGAATTACAAAACAAGCATATAAGGCAGCGTCTTTTCTCATGGAGCACACAAAGACTTAGGCAAATAAAATAAGTAGACAAAGCTGGTTCTTTGAAAAAATAAACAAGAGCAACAGGCCCCTGGCAAATCTGACTAAAATGAGGAGGGAAAACACTCAAATTAGTAAAATCAGAAACAAAAAGGGACGACAACAACAAACACCAAGGAAATCCAGGGAATCATCAAGAAACTGTGAGAACCTATACTCAAATAATTGAAAAATCTAGAAGAAATGGACAAATTTCTAGATATATATGACTATCCAAAACTGAACCAAGAAGATATTAGTCACCTAAACAGATCTAAAACACAAAATGAAATTGAAGCAGTAATAAAGAGTCTCCCAAAAAAGAAAAGTCCAGGACCTGATGGATTCTCTGCTGACTTCTATCAGACCTTTAAAGAACTAACACCAACTCTCCTTAAGCCTTTCCATGAAATAGAAAGAGAAGGAACACTGCCAAACTCATTTTATAAAGCCAGTATTACTCTCATGCCAAAACCAGACAAGGATACATTCAAAAAGGAGAGCTACAGGCCAATCTCCTTAATAAACATTTATGCAAAAATCCTCAATAAAATAATGGCAAACCGAATCCAACAACATATACAAAAGATCATATACCATAACCAAGTTGGCTTCATCCCAGGGGTGCAGGAATGGTTCAACACACGCAAATCATTCAATGTAATACAGCACATTAACACAAGCAAAGACAAAAACCTCTTAATCATCTCGATAGACGCAGAAAAAACCTTTGATAGGATTCAACACCATTTCATGATACAAACTCTCAGGAAACTAGGAATAGAAGGACTGTACCTCAACATTATAAAGGCTACATATGACAAACCTATAGTAAACATCATACATAATGGGGAAAAACCAAAACCATCTCCCCTAAAGTCAGGACGAGACAAGGATGCCCACTCTCCCCACTCCTATTCAACATAGTCCTGGAATTCCTAGCCAGGCAATAAGGCAAGAAGAAAGAATATGTAAAGAAGTAGTCAAACTATCCCTATTTGCAGATGACATATCTAATACCTTAAAGATCCCAAAAACTCCTAGACACTATAAACAGCTTCAGCAAAATAGCAGGATACAAAATCAATTTACAAAAATCAGTAGCCTTTCTATATACCAACAATGAGCAGAATGAGAAAAAGCATAGCAAAACAATTCCATTTACAATAGCCTCAAAAAAAAAAAAATCAAATACCTAAGAATAAACTTAACAAAGGATGTAAATGACCTCTACAAGGAGAACTACAAACCACTGAAGAAAGAGATGGAAGAAGACTACAGAAGGTAGAAGGATCTTCCATGTTCATGGATTGGCAGAATCAACAGAGTAATAATGGCTATACTACCAAAAGCAATCTATGTATTCAACGCAATTCCCATCAAAATTCCAATGACATTCATCACAGAGATTGAAAAATCTATCCTAAAGTTCATTTGGAAACACAAAAGACCACAAATAACTAAGGAAATACTGAGCAAAAAGAGCAACAGTAGAATTATCACAATACCCAACTTCAAACTATACTACAGAGTCATAGCAATAAAAACAGCATGGCACTGGCACACAAACAGACATGAAGACCAGTGAAACAGAATAGAGGACCGGATATGAATTCATGCAACTACTCTCACCTAATTTTCGACAAAGGTACCAAAAACATACGAAGGAGAAAAGACAGCCTCTTCAACAAATGTTGCTGGGAAAACTAGGTATCTTCCAGCAGAAAAGTGAAACTAGATCGATGCCTGTCACCCTGTACTAGAATCAACTCAAATTGGATTAAGAACGTTAATATCAGACCTGAAATCTTGAAGCTGATACAAAGAGCAGGGAATACACTGGAAGCAATAGGCATAGGCAAGGACTTCAAGAAAAAGGATTAGCAAATGGGACTACATCAAATTAAAAAGTTTCTCCACAACAAAAGAAATGGTTTTTTAAATTGAAAGGACCACCCACAGAATGGGAGAAAATCTTTGCAAGCTACTTATCAGACTGATAGCCAGAATATATAGGGAGCTCAAAAAACTAAACTCCCCAAAAATCAATGACCCAATAAAGAAATGGGCAAGTGAACTAAACAGAACTTTTTCAAAGGAAGAAGTACAAATGATTAAAAAACACATGAAAAAATGCCCACCATCCCTGGCCATAAAGGAAATGCAAATCGAAACCACATTAAAATTCCACCTCAGTCCTGTTGCAATAGCCATCATCAAGAACACAACAATAACATGTTGTGGGGATGCAGGAAAAAAGAACCCTCACACACTGCTGGTGATATACGTTAGTACAACCACTACCAAAACAATATGGAGGCTCCTCAAAAAACTAAACATAGATCTGCCACATGATCCAGCGATACCACTGCTACAGATATACACAAAGGAATGTGAGTCAGGTTACTACAAAGGCACCTGCACACCCATGTTTATTACAGCACTATTCACAATAGCCAAGCTATGGAAACAACCAAGATGCAAAGATGCTCCAATACCGACAAATGGATTAAGAAAATGTGGTATTTATACACAATGGAATTTTATTCAGCCACAAAGAATGAAATTTTGTCATTTGCAGGTGAATGAATGGAACTGGAAAACATCATCTTAAACAAAGTTAGTCGGGCTCAGAAGGGCAAAAACTGCAAGTTCTCCCTGATGTGGATTATACACCTAAAACAAATGCAGTAATATTATTGGACCCCGGACACGCTAAGGTGAGACTGCACACAGGAGGGACAGGGGAACGTAAGGAGACCTAAATCTTGAATGTGGTTGATGTGCTCACTGTATAAGAATGAATATAGTAATCTTAAACTGGCTAAGGCCACTATGGGGACGAGACTAGGGAGCAGCGAAGAGGTCTGGTAGAAATGAATCAATTTGTAATACATATGTACATGGAAATAACACAAGGAATCTCCCTATATAGCTATCTTTATCTCAAACTAGCAAAAACGCCATGTTTTTCTTATTATCTTTAATGTTTTTTTCTTCTACAAAATCGGAGAACAATACAGCAAAACAGGTTCTGCCTGGAGGTGGTATGGGTTAGAAGAAGGAGGAGGGGAGAGGTGATGCAAATAATGTATACACATGTAAAATGCAAAAATGACTTAAAAAAAACAAGTAGACAAAGCAGTACTCAAACTGAATATTCTTTATCACAAGGTCAGCAAGTTGTACACTTGTGATCCGATTTTATAATAGGCTCACAAGCTAAGAAAGTATCAGGGGTCCTCAAAACCATGTTCGTTGTCAGTGATTTAATAGAAAGACTCCCAGTATTCAAGACATATTCATATGCAAGCTATGCATTATTTTACAAAAGAATGTAAAGCAAAAATCAAAGGGAAAAGGCACAAAGGGTGAAATCTAGAGAAAACCAGACACAAACTTTTAGGGCCTTGTCCCAGAAGTGTCCCACAAAATACTTTTAGTTCTTCCAACAATGATTTGTCACCACACAATGGGACATGCTGCCTACTAGAAAACCTCATTAGAGACTTGGTACCCATGGCCTTTTTGAGGGGCTGAGGACAAAAGCATCCTCCATCTGGCACATATTAAAATTCTAAACTGCAAAAGAGAAAGTAGGTGTTTAGCATAAATCACATTGCTTGTACAAACAGTTCAAGCACAGTGATCAGTGTACAAATAGTTTAGGTATGCTTATCAGTGCTGGGAGTGATAGGTTTCCAAGTTCCAAGATGCCAGTCAAGAGCCAACCTTGCAAGCAAGCCATTCTAGGGATAGCAGTCACAGCCTCCGGCCTGCTAGGTTAACCGTTTTTACGTGCACGTACATACACACACGCACACATACAGAATGTACAATAAAAGTGGTAAACAGTCCACCAAGCCCAAAATATTTACCATCTGGCATTTACAGAAAAAGTTTGCTGAGCCCTACTCTATACAGCGTTCTTAATATAGTTCATGTTTTAAGGGAATTAAAGATAATAACTAACATCAACGTGCTGACATTTGGCTGGAAAAAATTAAATCATAGGGTAAAATTAATATAGGAATAGATCAAATGTTACATTCTCAAAACTAAGAAAATTCTGTGAGTCCAGCATCGCTGGTATCATTGTTCCATTTTTACAGATTAAAAACCTGAAACACAAAGAGTGAGTGATTTGTCCAAATGACCACAGATCATTTATAAGATATCCATAACTTATGACATCTTCTAATTTATATTCAGAACTGGATCACCACATAGGTCTAGGAGTTTGAAAGGCAAAGAGAAATGAGAAAGCATTAAAAGTCAGGGGGAATAGAAATAATAATATATGCAGGAATAAGTACATACTGAAAACTAAAAGAAAAAAATACTTTAAGGTATATAAGACTAAAAGGTTGTAGCTAAGTGCCCTAGAAGACACCATGTCAAATTTCCAAGTTTGAGTCTATAACATATAAATCTTACCATATCTTAACATAGTCATTTCTCCCAATTGTACTTACTCTTTCTATTCTTCATCTTTATAGGAAATAATTTTCTGCCTTGTGTATATATCAATAATCTTCCTAAAAGGCACAGTGAGTGAATAAAATAAATATACTGTAATTCTTGTCCTGAGTAGTAGAAAGTTTTCTGTACATTCCCTTAAAAGAGAAGCAAACAATAACATTCATTTTAATGTTACCATATTATACAGTACCTCTCTTCATTTCCTTCCTGAACATCAAACAAGGTTGTAGTCTATAATGAAGACAATGTTGTACAAATTTTTAAAAATTTACTTTCCTTACTGTTTACTAAGATCCTTTACACTAAATCTGATGAAAAGCAACCATTTTTTTTTTTTTTTTTGAAATTTACACAGTCCAAAGCCTTTTATTTTTTGACATCCTTCATGTCATGAATTCATAGGGAATAGGTTCCAGAAGCTCAGGCTCCTTTCCATTGGTTCTCACAAAGTGTGCTTCTCTGGGTGGAGCAGGCTGGCGCTTCAGCTGAACCCAGGTTCAAAAGCAACCATTATAAAATTGGCAAAACTTAGAAAATTATAACATGCATCCAGTGTTCATTCTAAAACATTATAAGAATACCAGAGTATCTATCATCAAACAAGAGCTTCAAAAGTAAGGTAAGGGAGGGAGAAGTCAATAGAAAATTTTACTATTTAATTTTACCAATTAAAAGCTAATACAGGTAAAGTCTATGCAAATATTCTAAAATTCAAAGAATTGAAATCTGAAAAACTTCTGGTACCAAGCATCTAAGATAAGGGATATTTGACTTGTACTAAAAATGATCATATTTACAAACATGCATGCAAATAAAATTATAATCTCCAAAATACAGGCATCTTCTGATATATATTCTCCATTCACTCCTACATTCAAGGTTCCTATTTTATACAACATCCTGAACTACCCATTGATTTAAAAACAAACAAACAAAAAAAAAACCAGAAGCATGAAATTCGGCTTCCAATTCAGGGTATAGCAATAGTCTGATATGATCAGGGCCCTACGAGGACAAGTGGGAGAGACAAGAGACTAGAAGGAACAGATCACAGAGGACTTAACCACAGAAGGAATCTGGACTTTATTATAGAGGCCACTGGGAAGTTATAAAGGAGTTTTTAGAAGGAATGTTACACTCAAATATGGACTGTGGAACATTGGCTCTGATGGCAGTATAGAAAGGTGATGAAAGAAAATCAAAGTCTGAAATAAGAAGCTCGAATAAAATGATGAATAAAAACATTAGCAAAAATAATGAAGGGAGACAGATAAAAATAAATATTTAAGAAAATGAAGTCAATATGCCTTAGCCAGATTTACACATGGATAGTGAAAGAATGAAAGAAGATAAGAAAATCATCTGTGTACATGATAAATTTCTTCTTCTAATTGTATTGAAGAAAGGAGAGGTCTAAAAAGAAAAACAAAAACAATGATTTAGGGCCTGGTATTGCAGTTTTTGAAGTGCCCATGTAGCATCCAGATAGCTACACTGATTAATAGACAAGTGTGCAGGTCTGAAATTCAGGAAAATGATGCAGGTTTAGAATGTCTCAGTTACTATTTACATGTAAATAGAAAGTGAATGGACTATCCAAGAGAACAGGCAGACTAAGATGAGAAACAAGCAAAGGGCAAAATCTGTGTGAATACAAGCTTGTAAAGAAGAGAAAAGAGCCTCTCAAGTAACAAAGAAAAACTTAATAGATGAGGATTAGGCAATCCATGAAAGAATGGTACTGTGAGGAGGTAAAACAACAGAGGCAAATGCTGTAAAATGAGGAAAAGAGAGGGAACTACGATGAGAAGGTTATATAGCAGTAGAAATAGAAACCTGATTTCTGTGATTAAAAAATGAATAGGAGGAAAGTGAAACCTGAGAGAATATAGAATATTGAAAAGAGCTCTTCTCTGAAGAGGTATGGCACATACAGAGCAAAAAAACTTGCTCTATTTTTTAATAGAAAGATGGAAGATGCATGAGCAGGTTGGAGGATGCAGGGGAAAGTGCCAATAGAAAGACAAGTAAAGCAATGTCCTGGCTCTATTAAAAGAAAAAAATAGTGGAAGGTAACAGAATAAGCAGAACACATACAGAGAACAATTTGAAACACAATGTAGGCTAGAGGAAGGGAATGTTGATATAAGCACAGAAATATGCATTTGTGTACACGGAAACAGGACCTTCAGGGAACTCATACATGAAACTTCATTTTCTTAGAAAGTACTCTTCTTGAGACAGGGGTGAGAAGAAACACTGCTGCTCCTTGATGAAACTGGCAAAGGATTATTATAATATCTATTATACAACATCCAGGGAAAGAAATCCAACAGGATTTCGAACAGAACAAAGGAAGAAACTGAGATGTATTTGCACCTTCAATCTATGTCACAAATTCTCTCTGCTCAATTTCCTATGTACTGGAAAACAGGGAGAATTGAATTGATCTAAAGTTGGAGAAATGCAAGAAGCATTGAGCAAAATTTTGAAACAAATGGCAAAGATTGCAACAAAACACACTTGAGGTCTCCACTAGATACAGAAGAAAGAAAAACTATGCAGGGCTACAAAAATGGAAGAGGGTTTCAAAAGTGCTGGATATAACTGTCTAATATCAAGATATAAGAATAATCTACATATCTGTGCACTAAACTTATGTATCCTTTTCTTCCTTTTGAAGAATAAATTCTGACTTCTATACTTTCTCCTCCACTACAAAGCACTAATTTTTAAAATCCATTAATTATTGGTCTTTGAACATTTTTCTTGCTTTGAGTAAAATATAAAAATAACAGACTTACAAAATATATTAGTCACATCTTAAGACATGAAATGTGAGCAAAAGGACAAGAGAAACTAATAATAGGCAGAAAAGTCCTGTTAAACATTTAAAATAAAGTTTATTCTTTCATGACAAGTAAGATATCTAGCTGGGTGTGGGAACAAATGCCTGTAATCCCAACACATGGGAAGCAGGATGATCTCAAGTTTGAGGCCAATCACAGCTATATAGCAAGACCCTGTTCCCAAAAAGGAAAAGGAAAAGAAAATGGTATCTACTGGGATAGGTAATTATGGACAAAAACAATAAGAATAGAAGTAACTAACAAAGCAGTGTAGGCAGTGGTATGTAAGAATTTAAGAGAAGCTTTACTTTACTTTACTCTATAACTAAAGAAGAGAAATGAGGGCCAGACTAAAAGCATCCAGGACATTTTAGCTCAGACTGAGGTTATGGAGAAAGGAATCACAGGTGGGATGGGGTATCCAATAATAAAAACTGTCTTTTAAAGAACTTTTCCTCCTACTAAAGTGATAAGTGCCTGTTTTTAGGAGTGATATGCAAGCAGAGGAAAAAGAAAGGACTATATTACTATTGCAAATAAATTAGAGCATTATAACTCAGTATAAATTAAGAACTGCATATAGTAAGAATCAGCATGATGATACATTAATTTCAAGGTAGATATCTTATAGAAAGTCATGATTACAGTGTAAGCCTAAAATCTGTAAAATATATTTTACATCATTGGCAAAAGTCCTCTAATTTACCATGCAACTAACATCTACTAACAAGTAAGTCATTACTAAGCTATTTTTATTAATAAAATTAACCATTTTAATATACATAAGAGAAAATACTTGCCACAATGTTTTGAATGTCCCAAAATATCATCAGCTTTCATGGCCTCACACAATTCCAAGTACTGAACACACTGCTGAACTGCTGTCGCTATCTGATAAAATAGTAACTTATTAATTCTACAAATTTTCAGTGTATATTTCCAAGTTTCTGTTAAGTTAGTCAAGGCTACAAAAAACACTAGAAGGAAACCTTTTGCTATTTTATCAACATAAGAGCATTTTAGAGAAAATTGGTCTTAAGATGAAATTTCTAGCAAATTTGATCCATTACATACATAAAATATTTGACCATGCTGATAAAATAAGTTATTTTTAATGAAGTAATTCTACCAGGAAAAAAAAAACTGGTTAATGATATAGATAAAATCTGTTTCTTATTTGAAGAGTTAAGGGTTAATCTAAGAAACATTTTAAATTCTTCCACCTATATCACTGTGATAGCACATAAACCATGAGGAAAAACTCATCTTCTTTTTGTTTTTTTCTCTTTATCCATTCTGTGTTTATTTGGTAGCAATTTTCATTTCAATGGGAATAGAAGATAAAATGAGGTGTGAAAAGACTTTATTTCAATTTAATTTTTGTAAAACTCTTCTATTATCTTTTGCCTCTATAAATAAATTCCCATCCTAATTTTCAATATTCCCTCTTCTTAGGCTGTTTCAATTCTTTGATGCTTTTTATTTTTTATTTATTTACTTATTGGTGGGACTGGAGTTTGAAGTCAGGGCTTCACACTTGCAAAGCAAGCACTCTACTACTTAAGCCATGCCTCTAGTCCAGTTCTCTTAATTCTCCAACACAAAACAATTATTGTTTTCTTTTCATTTTATGCTGTACTGCACTCAACCAAACAGTCACAATTCCAGAATCTTTCTTCCACCTAACATTTAAACTCAAGGTTCTGCCTAAACACATAAGCCATATTTATTGGCCAAAATTACATTACAACTTCTTAAGCATTTAATAAATTTCACATTTTCATGTTTGTCCATTATTAATTTATTAGTTTTGCCATTTATTTTCAATTTTTCCAGTACCCTTAACACAATGTTATGCTAATAGTGATAAGTATAGGTAATTTAGGTAATATATTTTACAGTGTTAATCTATATTTGATATAACTCAAACCAATCTTTTAGTTGCAAAAACATTTATCACTTAGCTCTTACATGCCACTTTCTAGAAGCAATTCCCTTTTTAATGCCAGATCTAAATCAAATTACATGTTTTTAATTCTTAAAAACATGGCTTCTCTCAAACTAGCTTGTTATTTATAGCAGCCCAACTTACTATGTATTTAATGTATTTCCTAATTGTTATTCTGACTTTAAGTCTCTACTTATATCCTTTTTTGTTTCACAGGTTGGTAGTTTAAGGTCACATAAAAGGGAATTGCTTCATTATTTACTATTAATCACCACCACTCAACTTAGAATATTCAAGACATTTTACATCATATATCTTTTTGTGATATTATTTCCCAAAATAAAAACAGAAGCACAGACTTACCAGAGACTTATATTTCTTTTCAAGAAGTCTTAGTACTACAGCTCTGCTATAATATGCGTGCTAAAATCAAGGAGAAATGATATTTAACATTCAAGCTATACCATTCAAATGTATTTTTTTCTGCATCTTTTCCAATAACATCAGAAATCACAAAATAACTTAGGTTTAAGTTATTATAACTAAGGCCATGCAGGTTTTTCTATATACAATGAATTAGGGGCATAGCAATCTGAAAATGAGAATGATTAATTTTTGATAACTAAAAATAAGTAGATCATTTGGTGATAGTAAAAAGGAAACTGCCCATCAATGTTATCCAATTTCTATGCTTTTCTAAAACCACTACAAAAACAGAGCACCTAACTACCAGTGTATGACAGAAACCAAGAAAGATACAGAAGAGAAAGAAAAATAAATTATAAATCTCAAATGAAGATGTACACTTTCTACATATACAGATGTTTCCCATAGTTGAAATGAAACCATATCCTAATCACTTTCTGCAAATAGTATTTCCAAATGATTGGCAGGACCAAAAACGTTTTGCCACCTTAGAACCAAATATAGTAAAACGCATTCATGGCATCGTACAGAGTCAGGGAAAACTACACATTTTTACCTAAATTGTGTTAGCTATCATTAAATACAGTTCTTCATTTTACTTAAAAACTTAAACAGAATAAAGCCCAGTAAAAATTATCAGAATTCAGGGGAACAGAGTTTTTAATTCACTAAACTATGTTTTAATCAATTGAAGGTTAATCAAATCCCTGTGTAGTTTGAAATGCTTTCAAAAACCATTAATCCTTTCATCAGCTTTTATAATAGAGAAATGTTGATGTATAATTACACAATTTTTAACATTGACCATACTCTAAAAAGGAATTCTGATGGCATTTTCACTAGACCATCATCCTTAAACTACAGCCCTCCGACCAAACTTAGCATTCCACTTGATACTGTAAATAAAGTTTTATTAGAACACAGTCAAGTTCATTAATTTACATATTATCTATAAATGCTTTGAAGCTGCAATAGTTGGATTGGAAAACTGCAACAAAGACTGTACAGCCAACAAAGCCAGATATATATGCCATCTGGCCTTTTACATAAAAAGTTTGCCAACCCATTTTAGATATACACAGTATAAGACAATGTAATGAATTTTCATTAATACTAAAACACATCCTGGGGTTTATCTTTTTAATGATTTTCTAGTGGTTAGTTTTCTTGTGGTATGCCTCATTCTCTTAAGAATCAAGTACAGGAAACCAAAATATTAAGTGAAAAAAATTTCAAACAGTAGAATAGGATTTCATTTTTGTTTCAAAAGACTTAAACAACAAAAGTATGTGGTAAATATACCTAGATAAACAAAAAGCTTAACAGTTTTTGTCCCTGTGTTTTATAATTAGAAAAAAATTGTACTTTTACACTTTTTGTACATTTTCCTCAATAAAGGCATAATTTGATAGCAGAAAAAAATTAAGAAAAAGGCCGGGCACCAGTGGCTCACACCTGTAATCCTAGCTACTCAGGAGGCAGACATCAGGAGGATCATGGTTCAAAGCCAGCCTGATCAAATAGTTTGCAAGATCCTATCTTGGGAAAACCCATCACAAAAAAGGGCTGGTGGAATGGCTCAAGGTGTAGGCCCAGAGTTTAAGCCCCAGTATGACAAAAAAGAAATAAAGACAAAGTATCAGATGTGAGGAACAAAGGGTTCAGGTTAATGTAATTAAATTGTGCAAAGATTTATTACATACTACTATGTAGATGACAGCACTAAGCACAAGACATGGAATTGTGCAAGCTGAAGAAGATGTAAACTAGAGGATGTTTTTGACACTATCGCCTGTGCTCAAAAAAATTGAGCAATGAATCTTTACGTCCTACCACATCTATTTAAATTGTTTAAGTTTTTATTTAAACTGGAGAAAAAAGAATTTTGGTGAGTCATTCATCCTAAATAGATTCAAATGAACTGCAATTTAAAATCTTATTCTGACTCTGCCACTTACTAGGTAAATAATCTTGGGCTGGTTAACTTCTCCATGCTTTAGTTACTACATTTCAGAAATGGGGCACTAATGCCATCTACCGCATAGATTTTTACTGGAATTAAATGAGTTAACACATGTAAAAAAGTGATTAGAACACTTAGCACACAGTAAACGCTCACACATTAGCTACTCTTTAAATTGATATAACAAAAAACAAAATTCCTTACCATCCACTTTTTGAACCATACAGCCTTAGTATCAATTAATGCAAAAAAGTACATTGGATCCAAAATCTTTTGAGAGCCAAGATGGCTTTGATCATGTTTAACTGATAATAAGGACAAAGTGCTCTCCACAATTTCCTCCATATACCTTAAAGTTTGGAAAAGAAGAAATGACTTTAGAAAAAAAAAAAAAAAGGCTGATATATTTAGTATTGGTGATATATTTTAAACTTTTTTATTTTTCAGTAAATGGCAGAGGTCGGGTTCATAGTCAACTTTTCTGCTTTAAAAACTTATGTCCTTTCTACATCAACACTGGCTCTATAAATGTAACTTTACTTACAACCTTATTAGAAATTTTAGAGCTGAAAGCAAAAGTTTAAAGAACATTTAAGGAACTTGTCAAAATTATCAAAGAACAGTAAGAACCTATGACTACAACATCCAATTTTACCTTGTGATAAGTGATATAAAATGGCACTTGTACAGAGCCATTTACATAGTTAAGTATAAAACATGGCAAGCTTCAAAAAGAAGAAAAACTATGCGAGTAACTTCCTAATCATGTATGCCAATGAAGACTATCTCTCCCCTCTCTCTTTGAAATGTCTGAGGGGCAATAACACTTCTGTGTTTTACATTTGCCTAAAGTCAGAGACTTACTTTTCTGGGTGTCGAATCCAGAAAGACGGAGCTTCTTTCTGATAGTCATTTAGAAGACGGACCTACAAAGCAGTATACAACACTTCTCAAAAACTTAAAGCTCTTAAATGTAGAACTAGTTGAAACAGCAGCATACTCTAGTAAATGAATACCTTTTTAAGTAAGCAGTTCACATTGGGATTAGTTACATCTATACCAGTTGAGAGAGTAGGAATATGATTTTCTCTAGAAAGAAAGTATAACTCCAAGTATTTAGCTGAAAAGTAAAAATATAAAATCATTGTACCATTCATATACAGTGATTTCTGAAAAAAATCATTTATGTATTTTTCTTAAGTATATATAAAATAAAACATTTTAAATGATTTAATAAACATACCTAAGCTTGAATAAATTTCCTTGGTCATATGTAATGGCGAAAGTGTAAATATCTGTGCATAGAATTTTAAAATCCGGTCCTATGGAAATAAGACAGAAGATCTGCATCTAAGATTATTACAAGAATAGAGGAAACATTTTTCATTTAGTGAAACTCAGAAAATAAACACAAAATAAACTATTTAGAAACACGATTAGAAATCTATCTATAAAAAGAATGTGTCATATACTAATAAAGTGTTTTTTAAAAGAATATGCTCACTATTATAAGAGTCAGTGAAAAGCAAAACAAAATGAATAGTAGATCAAATAACAAAATTTGGTAATAGGAGGTAATGACACTGGAAGGTGGGAGGAGAAAGGTTAGGTTTGATAGAAGAATGTAAAATGTAAAGGTGTCATCAAACAATGGCACAGAGTAGGCTGAACTAAATTTTAAAAAGACCATGCATTTCCAAATCCAAGATTTTTTTCTTTAAATTGTTTATGAGGGTAGTTTCAGTAATTAGACACTGAAAGATCTTAATAATCATTGTACCTATTCCCTAGAAAAATACCAAATTTTTTAATTAAACTTTATTAAAACTCAGAGTAGAAACTACTACAAAGTAAATTAAATGTAAAATGTGTTTAGAACAGTGCCTAGCACTACAGTAGGCACTTAAATTGGTAGCTGTATCACTTTATTTGTACCAACTTAAACATGATGCAATTAACCTTAATTGTGATATCCAACTTTCGTTAAATAAAAATAATGTCTCAAATTTTCTAATCTAGAAGAAAAATATTAATTATCTTGTTTACATCACTTAGGATAATATGCTCTCAAAAGAGTTGAGCTATCTCTAAAGATATCTTCTAAGAACCCCAAGAAATTCCTACTGAACACAAGCTATTAAATACTTGGGGAAGTCTGTTTTTATAGTTGCAGCAATTAGTATCTGTCATGTTTCTACCACTTCAGGTTTCACTCAGTTACATGAAAGAGTCCTTTAGGTTAGGAGATGAAGAAACACATTTAGCAATTTGGATCACACAAATTTAAAATAAATGGATGCCATGCTTTGTTTTCAATTCCCAAATGACCAATTCTGTTACCATTTTCCTCTATGACAATTGCTTCAGATTTATTAACTTAAATAGAGAAACTAACCCTTACTGCATAATAATCTAGAATGGCTAAATAAGGCTATTTATATACTTACACTGACCCATTAAAAATTTTACTGTGTTCATAAAGTTAGAATCTAAAATAAAAGTAATCTATTCAGGCTTGATTCTGTCTTTGTTAAGTAAGGGAGAAAGTTCAGGCAAATTTACAACTGCATTTCTTGTTACAGACCCTTGAACTGTTAAAGGTGACCCTAAAATTACTTTTTTCTCCCTGGAAGTCCTTATATCAAACTTTTTACAGAAGTGTATAATACCCTCTGGTGTTAGTAAGTTTGTACTGCATCCTAGTATTAAGTGAACATTTCTCCCTTTGATAAGAATAGCAAAAGTGTTCCCAAATCACTTCTGTTTACTAACCTAACTATATCTTCATTGATGTTAGAGTGTGATTTTAAACAGACAAAAGTATTGAGATAACTTACATTTTTCCTTAACTGTTTGCTTATGGTCTGTGCTCTCTATTAGAATCTAAGTTCCTGAAGGGCAAAGACTTTGCTATCTTGTTCTTGAAACGATCCCAGAATCTAAACTAGAATGATACATGCTATAGATATTAAATACACACTTGTTGAAAAATAAATAATTGTAACTCTATGCTAATGCCTTAAGTTCTATACAAAACTGCATATCAGTTTTAAAACCAAAGTTTACTTCATTAATGTATCAGGAAGAAAGATAATCTCTTATTAAAAATGCAATTTGCATTTAAAATTTGGTGTTTGGATACAGGCAACACTTTGATTCACCTGTAGAATTACAGCACTCATTAAAATAAGCTTTTTTTCCTCATGTAGTAACTATTCCTGAAAAGTCATATGCATATCAGTTTTTATATAAATCAATCATGTCCCTACTGACTTCATAACTTTACAATTTCTGAGATTTTTCTATAGTTACTTTATGATTCATCTCAAATTATCTTATAAACTTTTAGCTTTATAGCTTTGTCACTTCTCCTTTTAAAATAAATAGTTAAATCCAAAAGGAAAGTGATATAAACCCTAGTTAATCCTAATTCATCATTTTTAAGCTCAAATTTTCATATATCGTTAACTCTTTTGAAACATTTATCTTAAATTAAAAATAATAATACAAATACTTGGGTATTCCTTCACAAGATAAAATGCACAAGTAACAATCTATTATTTGGCAACAAAGAACAATATTTATTCATTGTATTCTGAACTTAATTATTAAATAAATTCCTAAAAAAGAAAATTTTGACAATCCAAAAGCTGAAACTGAATTCCTATAAATATTTAAGCTACTATTAAGGAAAATTATCATATCCCATTTAGTTCTACAATGGTAGAGAAACAGGAATTATTTTTAATATTTCTATAACTGTCTCCTTACACTAAACACAGGATCAGGATCTGAAAAAGACACAGACAGTTTTTCACAGAGAGTAGTCCAGTTCTCACAGTTCAGGACATCAGATGGAGGAGCTGAACATAATGCTTGTAAGGCTTCATATCTCACCTGTAATATTTTATAAGAAGATTTTCATTAATACTCAGCCAGTGGAATAATTTCAATTCTCCAAGGCAGTATTTAACAAACTACTGAAAGGTAGCACACAGATAGCTGTTATAATGAGCCATTTATGAGAATTAGGTGTCCGTTTACAAAATAACTCAAGAACTCGTTTTTAAACCAAGTGATAAATAGAGAAAAAAAAATAGGTTGCTCTTGAGTGTAAAGCCAACTTTAAACATTATATGTAGTAGACCTTAAGCTGCATGTCTGAGAGAAACTGAAGGAAAGATGGTGGTGAATCAAAATTACCACTGCAACATTCTCCAGCAGCCTCCTCCTACAGACTTTCTCCACTCTACTAAGCTTCCACAGCCAAATCCTACAGCTTGAGGATTTTAGGTTTTAAAAACTATGCAGATATGCACCTGCTGAAGCATTCCCATTCCAGAATATATAAACAATTCTCACAAAACAGTTTGAGCTTTTTTATGCTGGCCCATATTTTCTGACTAACAACTGAGATAGGAAAAAGAAAAAAAAAAAGACATTCTGCAGTAGAATGCAAAATTGAGTTTCTGTATTTTCACAGGAAGTTTACTTATCAATCTTCTCAAAATCCAATAAAAATCCCCTCAAAACAGTATGACCTGAGAGATAGCAATGGAAAAGAGTTCTACTCCAGTGCCAAATGGAACAAAGCTTATCTTTCGATTATTCTCCAACTAGTGAGAAACAACAGTAATTCCAACCTGCTCCTCAAAAATCTGACCATTTCCCAGATGAAACAACTGAATCACAGTGAATAAAAAGGTACAGAAGGAGAGACAGGAGCCAGGACCTCAGCAAACCAGACACTCGATTTTTAGAGATAAGAAAAAACACAGAATATGCATAAATTTGAAAAATGTCTAATAAATTTGTATGAAAGAACTCCTAAATACACCTTTATCTGTGGTGGGCATTGGGGGGGAATATGAAGAGAGCTTTTTAAATTGGGGCTTCATAATGTTAAGAATTTCTCCTTTTCAGTTAATTTTTAGGACAAAATCCCATTATGAATTACTGTTTGCAGAAGCAGAATATAGGTTACTGGATAAGCATGGATTGCCAAATAAACCATTTAAACTGAAGACAATAGAATTGTCATATAAAAGTCAAATCTCATTTTCAGTATCTTTCAAACAAGAATCAAGAAAATAAGACAGACTGGAGGCTGAAACAGAAGGATAGTGAGTTCCAGGACACCCAGGGCAACATAGTGAGATCCCTTCTAAAAAAAAAAGGGAGGAGAAAAGGTGAAAGGAAAGAGGGGAGATGAAAGAGGAGACAGGAAGAAAAAAAAAATAGAATGCAAAATACAAAAAGAAAAAAATATTCTTTCCATGATTTTTATATTTCAGTAGAAATAAATCATAACTATTCATTTAGTTTAAAATGAGAAGTTTGGGGGAAGTAACTTATTTTAAAAATTGAGAACAAGATAGTTGGTCTCAACTGCCTCCCCCATATATACACAAAAGTCTTAGGCTAAAAAGTCTTCAAAAATCCTATTGTATTTTCTACTTTCAAATTAAATAAAACATCCTAAGCAGTAATTTGTAAAGTCTCTTAAAATACAGAGACACAATCCATTATAATTGCTTATTCAAAAATTTTTCTAGTTAATAGATTTTCAAAGTTTCACGTGGAAGGGTTGGTAAGATGTTGGTCAAATGCAAAATATCAGTTACAAGGAAAAAGTTCAAGAGATCTACTGTACAATAGAGTGACTATAAATAATGCATCACATTCTTGAAAATCACTATTAACACAAAAATGCTTTGTATCTGAAGTAATATATGTTAATTAGTTCAATTGAGTCACTACTCTTTATACACATTTCAAAACACGTTATACAACTTTATTAATTTTTTTAATTGATGCTCACATTTTCTAGAAATAGAGAAAGCATCAGGTAATTTCCTAAGAAATCACTAACTAAAATATATGTATACAAAGCAACAATGAAGGAACAACTTTGAGGAAGACTCCCCATAACTTCATCCCATCCACATAGAAACAGAAAAAAATTCCTCTAACCTTAACAATTTTCTAAGGGAAAGTCCTCCTTATTCTGTGACCTTTCATTTCAAGACAGGAAAGTGTAGTAAGGTATCAGTACATCAGGCCCATTTCAGTAAAGGCCTGGCCTCAGGAGAAATAACTCAGTTGCTACTGGACACAATCTAGTGGATTTAAAAAGTATAGTATCCAACTGAACCTTACAGATATTCTTTAAACTTACCTCTTTAGGATGCCCAGGATCCAATTCATCTAAAATCAATTGTAATTTTCCTTGACAAAATTTGTAACTCTGTAACACAATTGATATAACATGAGTTCACTTATTAGAATTTCAGAAGTATTGCTGTAAATGATTTTGTTAGTATAAGTCTAAGCACAGCATGCATTCTGAGCAAGAGGATGGTCTGGCAGCAAACTCAGAATTTTCATTTCCCAAAGCTTTTAAATGAGAATTGAATGTTCCAATAGAACAGTGTGCCTCTGTGTATATGAAAATTATTATTTGCAAAGACTCTAAAGACATAAAATCAAAATGTTGTGTACCCAGAAATGTGAGGTAAATGAGACAAAAAAATAAAATAACATGAAACAAGTAAAAAGGCACCAATAGTACTCTGGCACAGCTATAGTGTGCCGTGAACTTTTTTTAACTTTCTTTCCTTTCTCCATTATTCGTTGATGAAAAAAGTACTAAAGAAAAGACCTCCATCTAGAAAAAAGATTATAGTAGACTTAAAAGATACATTGGGGGAAGAAAGGGTCTTTCTCCCCACCTAATACAACTTAAATATGCACAGTATTTTAAAAAGTCATTTAAAAATAACAAATTATAATATTAATAGCTGCAAATGAATATTCATTATGCAGCAAATGTTGTAGTATCTCAATTCATAATGACTCTGTAGTATAATTATGAAAAGAAGAGATTAGTTTCACCAAGTAACACAGTTATCAGAACTCACATTATCATCCATAATAGAGATCTTCTCTTCACTACTCTTCTGAAGGGTTCTCACCCAGTTTTTGACTTTATCAGTATATCATGACTACTCATAAATTTTTATCAGTCATTTGCTCTCCAGATTATGTATCTAATAACCCTCTTAATATTTCCACTTGGACATTTACTAGGCATCTCAAACTTAACATGACCAAAATAGAATTGTTGATTGCTTTTTTAATTTTGAATCTGTCCTTCCCTTAGACTTTCCCATCTTGATAAATGGCACTACCATCTATCCATATTTTCACTGAGGTCAATAAGATTGAGTCGTGTCAATCTTGACTCTACACTTTCCCTCATTTCCTACATTCGATCTAAGTGCTGCCAAAAAAAAAAAAAGTTTCACACATAATAAGTCCAACTACCAATACCACTTCTCTGTTAGCCCAAGGTACCATCACATAACCTCTGAGCTAGACATAGGACTTCAATTCATATTAATATGCTTCCCCTCTTATCCCAACCAGCCATCATCCATTCTTTCCAGCAACAGTCAGATCAAGCTTTTCAAAGTTATAAACCAAATCCATTTTTCTCTTTAAGCCCCTCAACCATCACCAGTCTTCCAGAGTCCAGCCACACTACCTTCTTTCCATTGCTAGAAGCCAGCACCTCTGCTATTACCATTCCCCATTTAACAATACTCTTTCTGCAGAGCTTTGCTTGGCTACCCTCTCACCACTTAAAAGAGTTCAGCTCAAAAACCATCTCAAAGAAGTATTCCCTGATCACACCAAATATCTCTACACCCCCCAATGCCTACCCTACTGTCCTACTGTTTTCATACCCTACATTACTGATGTTGACAGTATGTGAGGAGGGAAAGACAATGGGGAGTTCACAGGTACTTTTTCCTAGCTACAGTTAGCTCTGGAATTTGGTCTTTTTCACGATAATATCCCCAGTACTCAGATATCTAGTTGTTCCATACAAAAATTACTCTACAGCCAGTCTTCACACCATGCTGACTAGGCAAGTAGGCAGGTATTCTACCACTTGAGCCACTCTGCCAGCCCCATAAATTTTCTTTAAAAATCTTTAAAATATTCCAAGTTTTACTCCTTTCTAAAAGTGTACAGTTTAGCTACTAAAGTCTATATACATGATTTTTTAAAAACTAAAAGGACTATATATTAGAGCTCTAATTTTGAATTTTCATTGTATTGCAATTTAAACGTGAAAAATTGTGAATGCGACCTACAGAATAAATACAAGCACCCGATAGCAGTTGTCATGCTAATTATTTAGGGAGACCCTGCCTTGAAGAAGAAGAAGAGAAGAAAGAAAGAAAAGAAAAAGAAAGAAAGAGGAAAGGAAGAAAGAAAGAAAGAAGAGGAGGAGGAGGAAGGGGAAGGGGAAGGGAGAAGAAGAACAACAACAACAAAAACAACACCTCTACAAAACAAACAAAAATATTTCTAGTGTCTTCTTTTCTGATCCATCATTCTGTCTCTACTGATGTGGGAAATGTTACCTAAACTTTCACCTACTTGATGGCTATAGTAACACTTCTGCACAGAGGACTTGCACTTACATTATCTCTAAAACCAACTTCTCTATCAAGTCAATCTGACATTTTCAACTATTTATCATACCAGTGACATCAGATCTAAAAATTCTCAGTTCACCTAACTCTACACTCAAATCCCAGGCATAGTTCATGATGCCATCATCCTCCAGTCACCTTACCTTGAAACCACAGCTTGACCTTTGACTTTACTCCTATTTGCAATACCTTTTCAACACTATCAAACAAGTTTAATGGTTCCACTTCTATAATAATTTTCACATTAGTCCTTTCTATTTACTACAACCAAACCTTCTCTGTTTGGACCTTCTTTACTTCTTTCTTTAACCACAATGATAGCCTTCTAACCTGCCTCCCTACTGCCACTTTCTCCACTTTCCATGCCCTTATTCACACAACTGACATGAAATTCCTCCTGAAGTACACTTCTCTGATCAAAAACTTAAAATGATTTTCCATCATCCAATTAAGGCTCTGAATGAATTACATCTCAAATACTTACTCAGCACTTACTATGCATCAGGTACTATGGTTTTATAGCTAGAATCTACAAACAATGATTAAAGTATAATTCTTGCCCTTATTCTAGAATCTGGCTCTAATCTATAACTCCAATCTGTTCCCCTCAAACATTCTTTTTGGTATCTGCCTAGCAAGTGTGAGGTCCTGAGTTCAAAGCACAGTATGGAAAAAAAAAAAACCAACTTTGCTCTCACCCTTCACATTTATCAATAGGTTCTAATATATACCACATTCTTTGTAGATTCAGAGTTTTTGACCATTCCTATTCTGAGATACCTGTCTCTACAGCTTTCATACCCTTAATTTTAAAGGCTCCTCTTTGGAACTCCTATGACACATTATTTCTACCTTACTTTATTCATGCACCCATCCTTCTTTACTATCTCTTTTTTTAAAATAGGAAAATGAGGAACTTTAACTGTCATAGTGGAATAAATTCAAATTAATGAAAATGATTGAGGACTTCTAATGTATAACATATGAATATGATTAACCTGCCAAACACCAAGGAAATGAATATTGAAACCAAGATACAGCACAAAACCTCCTTTAATCCTAGGTGTTGATAAAGGTGGACAGAGCCCCTTACAGCCCACGGACACCAACTGCTAAACGAACCCCCCAGAAATGCTCTCCCAGCCTGCACATGTAGTCAGTGGTATAGTGCTTGCCTTGCATGCATAAGACCCTGGGTTCCCTCCCAAAAAGAAAAGTCTGCAAGAAATTCTCTTCTGCAGCACCACTGAGGACTCTCCAGCAGGTTTGGGGAGATGGTGTATTCAGAGATCAGAAAGTACCTACTAGGATCTTACCCCAGGGGACCTGTAGAAGCCTCAGGCACAGACTCCTTCTCTCCCAACAGATTCAGAACCATCTTGAGCTTCATTCACCCTCAGTCCGACATGCTGCCTCCCTCTTGGTACCCAGGTACCAGTGCAGAGATGGAAAGTCTCTGAAAGACTTTTATGGCTGAGGGGAGCCCCCTAGACTTCTCAGTATCTGACCAGAAGTCAGGATTAGACTCCAGGCTGTGGTAGAAGCACCTGTATCCCCAGGGATTGGGTACAGAGATGTCCGTACTGAAAGGAGCTGTGCTTTTGTGACCACATCACTTCTAAATGCTGGTTGTAGTGGAGATCTTGGAGAGCAAATTTTTTTCCCTTTGGCACTTTAATAATTATTGTAGTCATCCTTGTTGCCAAAAATTCCAGACAAAGGTATGCAGCCCTGTGCACTGGGAACCACACGTGTACATCATACTCCATGAGGCTGAGCCTGGTAGCTGGGCCACTTGAGTATTAGGGTCAGTAGTACCTGTCCACTCTGAAGTGCTTTGCCAAATGTTGTTCCCTGCTGTAGATGTTGGCAGAGGGAGGCTGGGGCGTTGCTAAATCCACCAAGTCAGTAGGCCCCTGCACATTATCTCCTGTTCTGCTCTGGTTCATGAGACTTTGAGATTCTGCTCTTAGGACCTGGGGTTTAAACCCCACCTCCATGCAGTGCCTACCCTGTAGGGACCCTCCCTGTCCTACCTTGCCCCCTCTCTTTACTATCTTAAGCTCCTTGAGTAAATAAAGCATGCAATTAATACTCACATTTTTTGAAGTGGGTTAAATACGATATCACACATGGTAGCTGTTGAATGCCTATCTATTAAATGAGTGTACAAAAAGCTAATGTCCCTGAATACGGCTATGTTTGCCTTTCCTCTCAGTTTGTAATGCATATTAGAAAAATATAACTTTGAGCTGGAGGTGAAGCTCAGTGGGTTCAATTGGCAGTATTACAAAAACAAGGAAAAAGAAAAGAAAAAGTATACCCTTCAATACTTATTTTACTTGGAATATCCTCAATTTAATTTTCACCCTAGAAGACTCCTTTAATTACCTTAAGCACAGTGCAAACTTCTCTTTTAAAATGTTTTTAAGCACTTTTTATTACACAAGAAATCAGAATGAGTTAGGCACCAGTAGCTCACAGCTATAATCCTAGTTACTTGAGAGGCTGAGATCAGGAGGATCAAGGTTCAAGGTCAGCCAAGGAAAATTGTTCTCAAGACTTCATCTCCAAAATAACCAAAGCAAAATGGACTGAAAGTATGGATCCAGTGGCAGAGAGCCCAATTTGCAAGTGTGAAGCCCTGAATTCAAACCCCAGTCCCACCAACAAAGAAAAAAGAAAAGAAATCAGAATGAGCCAGGTACAGTAGCTCACACCTGCAATCCTAGCCACTTCA